TATTTAATGAATATTTTGATTTTAAGGTCTTCAACTTGTCGTATTTGTCGCAACCTGTCAGCTATAATCAGGATTCAGAAGGCTTTTAATGGGTGCATTGTTTTTTAATTTTTTTGTGCTGTGTGTACATACTGGTTGTCCTTCCTGTTTATACTATATGTTGTGTGATGTGAGCTGGTGGTACTTGAGTTTCGCCATTGGGGATTAATAAAGTTTTCTAATCTAATGTAATCTAATCACTCTCCCTCCCAGCATGTGTATCCACCGGTTTGGCACAGCCTAGATTTACCATAACAAATTCCCACAACCCCCTTGATGGTGATATTAGCTGACAAATTAGTTGACAAATTAGTTGACAACAAATTTAATTATTGATTAGTTCATGACATCATCGGGCTGTAGCAAAACCGTCAGTTTAGAGAAGTGAAATGAACAGTAAAGTTAAAGTGATGGTTTAATACCATCACAACCTCCAAAGTGTGGGAGCATTTCACTCTTCACTTAGCCGAAAAGGTTGTGAACTGCAGCATTTACAAATCTGACCTTTCCTGGCATGGGAGCACGCCAGTTATGTCGGAGCATCTGAAGAGGAGGCAGGTAACGTTGACTCTCTGGATGATGAAGACTCATCTCAGTAAGATATTTAGCAAGCTACTTCAGATATAACATTTTCTATACATTTTTCTTGATCAATGACTTGTTAATGGCGTTGAGAGTCACAAATAATTATTATACACAACGATCCTGTTCAACGGATTTCTGTCCTCCAAACCTGCACATGAGTAATTTGGGGTGGCGGTTAATTCGCACCAGACTCCCTTAAAAAAAAAATCACAGAGTTTTGTGAGTTGTTGAGTTAGGGGAAACGTTATAAACTTTGTGTTTTTGAATGCATTATTCATTTTATTGTCTTAAGTAATTAGCAAATGCCTTAAACAACCTCAAGCTCAAGTTCAAAGGCGATAGCTAAATAATAGGCATTGAATAGTTCTGCAATTTATAATATGAATTTTTCGCTTCAATAACTGACAGATTATTGGTAGTTGCAGCCCAATTTTGAAGCAGCCCTCCAAGTCTACAGGACAGACCAATATCATTGAAAGCCCTGGACAACAAACAAGAGGCCTGTCTTGTTTACCAGGAAAAACATAATACAGTGTCACACACACTGCTGGGGAAAAAACTGTTTTAGAAGGTCAAGAAAAAAACAGTGGAAGGGGCTGTGCAGTATCAGTAGATTTCATTTGGTTTTGAGTTGGCTGACCACAGAGCTTATCCGTTTTGCATCGGGATGATTAAAAGCTGTGCAGAGTCCAGTATGGTAGGTCTAGTTTTTCACTGGGGTTGCACACTGCCAACAACACTCTCTGATCTCTTATGCTATTTAAAGTGGTGCTTTAAATAGCACTTATACATCAGATGTGATCATCTGATCATCATGATCCTCACCCCCACCTCTGTATTTGTGTGTCTCTGTATGTACTGTATGGGTATGCCGGCTTCTTCATATCCAAAGCAGCTGTGTGTGCCTCCAACTGGCCTGGAGACTGACCTTGCCGGTTAAAGAGTCGAAAAACACTTTCTAACACCACTCTTTTGACTCGGGAATGGGATAGGCTACACATTCAACTTTCGCTGAACGCATTGGTGCTTTTTGTTACCATCCATCCCTCTCAAACACAAACAAATGCACACCAAAAATAGGAGTAATGTTTCCAGTCATGAGATAGACTTTTCTTTAGGCAAAGCTTTTCATTTATTCATCTCTATAACATATGTTTGCATCCTCATGCATGCTCAGAGGGACAGACTGTGAGGGAGGCTGACGGAAAAGTGAAGGGAACCACTAAACCACAAGAGCATTATTAACCACACATTATTCTGTCACATGTTCTGATATGCATCTCTCTCTCCTTTTTCCTTTCAGTTTAAGGCTCAAAGGATCCTGATAGGTTCTGCACTGCATTGCTTGTGTTTTATTCTGAAGAAAAAAACGTAGATCAAGGTTTTTATGATAATGTGAATTATCAGTCCACACATATAAAGTAAAAAAATAAATAAAATAAAAAAGAGCAGGGAAAGATATGATGTAGTCAAACAGATATCTCCTATTTAATGACGTAACGTAGTGACAACTGAGGCTATTAGAACTGACCAGGCTGCTCTTGATAATGGTCTGCCCGCTGTGCAACCCAGCCAGCTGCCCCATCCATACCCCCTATAAATAGAACACCCACTGCTCTCCATCCCTCATCATCCTGCCTCGACTCCACTGTATTACGTAATGTCCTTCGTCCCTCTCTCTCACTTCCTTGCTCGCTCGGCAGGCAGATGGTCAGTAAACAGTCTATCCCCCAAACCAACACAAGCCAGCGCCCCTCCTGTTTACAGCTGTGATCCCCTGCCTATGCCCTGATCGCTCACGCTTTCTATTTTTCCTGTTCTGCATTTCTGTAATATGTTTGTAAAACACAGCGTGTATTGTAAATGCGCAATGAATACAAATCGATTAATATAAACATGAGTGAAAGCATCCTTGTAATCCATCCATTATTGTGCAATCTATGTTGCCCCTTATGTAAGTCCCCAGGCTGTGAACCCCCTGGAGAGGGAGAGGCTGTTAGACAGGAGCCGTGTCTCTTTAATGTGGGCTGTGAATGTAATGGCTATTCAGTGCTGGGACAAAAAGCCCACTCTGTCTGTCTCTTGATCCTCGAATGCAATCTGTAGCCTTAGGGCCAAGAACAAACAACGGATAGCTTTGTTCTGGCAAAATAATAGAGGATAGACACAGAGCAAAAAGCATGATTCCCTCTGTGGTTTGGTGACTCCCCACGTCTGCGTTATGAGTCATAAACTATACAAACAGGATCATACACACATAAACATACTGCATTTAAAAGCAAACTTGCAGGTCAAACGTCAATGAAAAGGGTTGTTCTGTGTGCAGCAACCTGTATGGACATCCCTCCTCAAGATCAGAGACGTGCTGGCTTGCTTGGAGAGAAAGTGTTGAAACAGCACAAGCAATTAACTTGCTGACGACAGAGAGTGGGTCATGACGCGCTACCTGACTTGCATGCCATGCCCACATCTTGTGGAAACAACTTGACATGACGAAATTGTGGGCCATTAGGTTTGCCGTGTGAGCCTCACACAGGTCAGTCCAGTGCTGGCAAACACAGTTTTAACATGGGATGGTCACTGGTGTAAATCAGATAATAGGTAGGTGCGCGCACAGCCTTTACCCCATAAAATCCCTTTAACAAGTCTTTGATAAGTTGCATCTGTTAGCTTAGCCTGACTTCACCCTTTCAACTACTCCCACCCAATTCTAAGACATTAAATCCTTAAATATTGGTTGCACACCTAATACTATTACTATTGACTATTACAGATGACAATATGTCAAAATCAATTATGATTAGTAATCTATAGATAGTCTACAATATAGTATAGTCAGACAATATGTTAATACACAACACATCTAAAGTTCATGTCTCTTGGCAAAATTGCTAACAACTAGCGGTGCTTACTTAATTACTCCACTGTCACTTGAGGCTACACAAGATTAACTTGTACCTACTTCCCTCACAACTTCTGTCAGTCCCCTTCAATAACAATGTTGTTGCTAAGAGAATGCAGACCTGTCTCTCCTGAGTAGTAGCTAACCCACACCGTCCCCCCACCCCTTCTAGTAAGGGGAAGCAAACGAGATAGGCGCTTCTGCCTGAAAACACGGCTTCCTTATCAAAACACTTGTCATTTTCATTTGAGTCATGAGTTGATGTAGCGAGCCAGAGAAGTCAGCCAAGTGGTTGTTTTCTCTCTTCTTTGTTTTTGTTTTTATGTACATTTTTCCTGAAAAACACTTTTATTCCTGTCCAATATCCGTTCAAATTCGATCATATCATAAATCTAAATAGTCCAAACCACTCTAGGCTAGACTGAAGTTTTAATTCTCTAGAATCACAAAGACACGACATCTCCTGAGCCTTATGAACAACTCATCTGCCCATCGGTTCTTTGGATGTTAAGGGAAACCAGATTAAATCAAGTAAGAAAATTTCAATCTGCATGTCATCAACTAAGTATGTTTCCCTCTGACTTATACAAGAAAAGGGAGGAGAAGATGGGACACAGACTTTGCCTTTTCTTTCTTGTTTTACTTGTGAATTTTATATCAGACAGAAACCAAAGTAAACTTGGAACACAGATTAAAATGGTGGAGAGCCCTGAACGGAGTGGTCAGTTTTCTTTCTGCAGCACTCGCACTCTTATGTTGTTCCTCATTCTTCACTTCCCACTCCCTCTCTCTCCTGCTCTTGAGATTTGCCCTTCTGCCATCGCAAGCCAGAGCAGGCCTGGTTTCCTGTGTTTTGTGAAAGCAAACCACTGCTGTTCCACAGCCACTGCTCTACTTATTCCCATGAAGCCAAATATCTGCAGGGCTGCATCAGACAGACAAAGAATCCAGCCAGTAAAATAA